TGATATGTTGTTTGGGTTTTTTTTTTCTTTTTTGATATGTTGTTTGGGGTTTTTTTTTTCTTTTTTGATATGTTGTTTGGGGTTTTTTTTTTCTTTTTTGATATGTTGTTTGGGTTTTTTTTTTTCTTTTTTGATATGTTGTTTGGTTTTTTTTTTTCTTTTTTGATATGTTGTTTGGGTTTTTTTTTTCTTTTTTGATATGTTGTTTGGGTTTTTTTTTGGATATTGCTTGCATGGGGCCTGGTTATGCAATATTTTCCTTTGGGAAACTGAGCTGACATTATTGCACTCTGTCTGTGGGTGGGTCGGTTTGACTGTCTGTCTGTCTGTCTGTCTGTCTGTCTGTCTGTCTGTCTGTCTGTCTGTCTGTTTGTCTGTCTGTAGGTCAGTATGCCCGTCTGGTTAAACACTTACGTGTCTTCTTGTCTCTTTGTTACTCGCTCCACCTTTCTTCTCTGTCTGTCTGTCTGTCTGTCTGTATGTCTCTCTGTCTCTGTCTCTGTCTCTGTCTCTGTCTTTGTCTCTCTCTCTCTCTCTCTCTCTCTCTCTCTCTCTTTTCTCTCTCTCTCTCTTTTGTTTTTTCTTTTTCTCTCTTGTTCTCTCTCTCTTTCTCTCTCTCTCTCTCTCTCTCTCTCTCTCTCTCTCTCTCTCTCTCTCTCTCTCTCTCCCTATCTCGCCCCCCCCCCTTCCCCCTGTGTAATTGTCGGTCTCTTTCTCTCCCCCCACTCTCCCCCGTCTTCTTGTATTTTTCTTTCCAGCACACTCAGGAAGAGTGCCGAATTCGAAAAACATGAAGAAATGTGTCGATGGGGCCCTAATGCATGGGTCTACAATAATATTTCCTTATTAAACGCCAGGGGGCTCTCGTGGCCTAGAGGTTAAGGTGTTGTCCTCTCATTCAATGGTCCCGGGTTCGAATCCGGGTAGCGACCGAAACATTTTCTTCTCTAAAATTGTCTCCTTTCACCTCCTTTCCTCCTCTTTCTGCCCCCACCCCATCACCTCCTTTGCCCCTTCTCTGGGCTCCTGACTCTTGCTGCAGCCTTTCTACTGCTACTCCTTGACTCTTTTTACAGCTGTCTTTCTGCCACACTTCTGATCTTCTGGTAGGAAAGATCTACACCTAGCCTTCTCGGACAAGGGCGAAAAATATTGGAGGGCCCGTGTGCAAGTTCCGCACGTTAAAGATCCCCTGGTGGTCTAAAATCGATAAGAGCAGGCTTCGGCCGCCACCCGGGCAAAATTCAAAATTTCCTTCCAACTAAATGTATTAGGTGTGTCCCGCGCGCTCATATGACCTTATGCAGTTGCGAGCGCCGTAAAACCCTCTACTATTTAAAATTTAATAAAAAAAATAAATTAAACGCCAGC